ACCATTTCAAGTGACGACCTCATGAAGCTCATGGAGAGGATGCCAGGAGTGAGCAAAGCAGGAATCAAAGCAAAGGCTGGATAACTGGAAGAATCGCGTGCGTGCGTGTGCGTGCGTGCTGCGGTGTAAATAGGCCTCAGTGACGAATGGTATGCTGTTGTGCGCGCGCGCGCTGGGTGTGTGATGTGTGCGCGGTGTGGTGTGAAGGTGGATGCGAAGCTGGAAGATCGCGTGCGTGCGTGTGCGTGCGTGCGCGTGTGTGTAAAAATGAAGGCTCTCAGTGAACCGACATCAGGAGTCACTGCATGTTGCAAAAGCAAACACATGTGAGGGTCAGTGGTGTGCTGGGTGCTTGTGTTGCAGGCCCGTGTATAGACCTGGGTTCTTTGTTCAGAATTGCACAGGCCTTCCTGTTTGGTTTGAAAATGTACAAAGGGAAGGATTAAATATGTGGACTTACCTGAAACTCTGTGTCTAACAGTGTCCGTAGGTTTTGAATACGAGTCCTGCCTGGATCTCATCCTGTGGGAGAAGAGGACGGCTATTCTACAGGGCTATGAGTTGGATGCTTCTAACGTGGGAGGATGGACACTGGATAAGCATCACATCCTGGACGTACAGAATGGTAGGTTGTACATTATATTCAGTGTTACTGAACTAGACACAGCAATATGTGACAACACTGCAATCATCTCCACACTGCAAAAGAAAACAGTCCTACTAATATTAATGTTGTTCATGCAGGCTTTAGTCAAGAGAGTAGGAAAATCATTTGTTGGAATTTGGAGTCGCTAACTTTGCCTTTCTTACTCGCTCCTCACCAATCAGATCTGATCATTTGTAATGAAGGCAGTCAGCTGTCTATGCTTTTGAGCAGACAGCAGCATTAGCCAGCCACATTTTTGTAGCTTTGTGCTGAATTTGTCTTGTTAAGATGCAACGATCCCGTAAAGCACATGTTTATAAAATACATTTTAAAGGCTTTTCATCCTTCTACCCTTCCCCCCTCTCCAGCAGCTCCCTCGCTGAACTCTGTCTGTCACCCTATCCATCACATTGCTAGTCACCTTCTCTCCTTGCGGTCCTCCTGGGCTTTCAACACCTCCTCCCCCCATTCAGTGTATATGTGTGTATGAAAAAGAGTGTGTCTATTAGCAAGTGTGACTTGTGATATCTGGCAACATGTGTTCTGCTCTCCGTGGGTGTGACTCTGAATCTGGAGGGACAGAACTGCAGTGCAGTCTCTTTGAGACCAAACACACTGCAGGAATAATGATTTGTCTGGGAATCCAACGCTGCTCCAGTGTTTTATTCATAGTTCAGCTGTAGATGTGCTCTCGTGGAATGGGCAATATGTATATTATATTTGCACGAAGCACACTTGTTTAGTGAATACTGACGAAGCCCTGCCAATGAGGAATGCTCCCATGATTCATATGATGACTCTTAGACTGAGTAAACATAAGAAACCGAGTTATAAATGGATCACAGACTATGTGACAGCAGACATGAGCATGTGACAGTCATCTGAACCAAAGCCTCATATTCAGCTGAACATTAGTACAATGACCTGACAGGGCCTCATACCTGCATTAAGGTTATGACTCTATTCTGGTGCCAGTGTGTGTCACAGCGGCGCAGGCCGATTGCAACAATGGACTCAAATGCCTAGAACCACAACAGAGACGGCGAGCACGTTTTACAGTGTGTATATAAGACAACAGAGTGTAATTCGTAGAGGAGGGCGTGGGTGGCGTAGCGACGTGGCCGTGGGTCAGTAAGGGAAAACTGGGACTTAACAGGTGCAACTGGAACGAAGTGGGTACGTCTGAGAAGAGAAGAGAACGGGGTTAGGAAGGTGGCGAGGCGAAGGACACTTGGGGAAGTGGAGTACGACTGATGGGACTTACTTGTAGCCAGGGTGAGTTCGGCTTTGAGGGACAGGCGGTGAGAATCCAGGTGAGTAATGGCAGAGACTGAGTTCCACTGCGGGGTGGTGATAGGAGGGCAGGCAGGTGAGGTTCGCGGTATTTTCCAGAATGGAGAGGTAGTCCGAGAAGAGCTGAAGCTGAAAGTAAGCGGCAAGGAAGGTCCAGGTGAACTGTGGCATAGGAAAACAGAAAAAACAAGAAACAAGAGCCTGAAAACTTGGAACTGATACCAACCTGAGGTCGTTGACAAACTGGCGGTGAAGGACATTCTGAGTAGAGCTTAAATCCTCAACCCGATTACCCAGAATCAGCTTCTGCAGGGGAGCTAATGGCTCCGCCCAGGGATGGAGACCAAGGAGCTCAGGTGCCTGAACGAGTTTTCCGAGACTCCGTATACGCTGATCATTTAGTTAAAAATGGACAACTGATTAAGTTTATTTTGTATTATAAAAATTCAGGACCCATTCAAAACCATTTCAAGTGACGACCTCATGAAGCTCATGGAGAGGATGCCAGGAGTGAGCAAAGCAGGAATCAAAGCAAAGGCTGGATAACTGGAAGAATCTAAAATATAAAACATGTTTCTTTTGTTTACTACATGATCATGTATGTGTTCAGTCATAGTTTTGATGCCTTCAGTGGGAATCTGCAATCACATAGAAAATAAAGACAAACTTTAGATGAGAGGCTGTGACTGATAGTGTATCTGAATATACTAAACGTTGATGTTACAGAGGCTCTGGCACCAGGCTTGTATTTCAAATGTGCAATATCATAGCAGGTGATGGTGCTAAGGAAGTAGCACTAAAAAGCTTTCTATACATACTCAGCTGTAGTGGCTAATAGTTCATATGCACACTTGGTGTGTGTGCGCGTGTGTGTGCGCGCGCGTGTGTGTGTGTGTGTGTGTGTGTGTGCGTGTGTGCGTGTGTGTGTGTGTGTGTGTGTGTAAAAATGAAGGCTCTCAGTGAACCGACATCAGGAGTCACTGCATGTTGCAAAAGCAAACACATGTGAGGGTCAGTGGTGTGCTGGGTGCTCGTGTTGCAGGCCCGTGTATAGACCTGGGTTCTTTGTTCAGAATTGCACAGGCCTTCCTGTTTGGTTTGAAAATGTACAAAGGGAAGGATTAAATATGTGGACTTACCTGAAACTCTGTGTCTAACAGTGTCCGTAGGTTTTGAATACGAGTCCTGCCTGGATCTCATCCTGTGGGAGAAGAGGACGGCTATTCTACAGGGCTATGAGTTGGATGCTTCTAACGTGGGAGGGTGGACACTGGATAAGCATCACATCCTGGACGTACAGAATGGTAGGTTGTACATTATATTCAGTGTTACTGAACTAGACACAGCAATATGTGACAACACTGCAATCATCTCCACACTGCAAAAGAAAACAGTCCTACTAATATTAATGTTGTTCATGCAGGCTTTAGTCAAGAGAGTAGGAAAATCATTTGTTGGAATTTGGAGTCGCTAACTTTGCCTTTCTTACTCGCTCCTCACCAATCAGATCTGATCATTTGTAATGAAGGCAGTCAGCTGTCTATGCTTTTGAGCAGACAGCAGCATTAGCCAGCCACATTTTTGTAGCTTTGTGCTGAATTTGTCTTGTTAAGATGCAACGATCCCGTAAAGCACATGTTTATAAAATACATTTTAAAGGCTTTTCATCCTTCTACCCTTCCCCCCTCTCCAGCAGCTCCCTCGCTGAACTCTGTCTGTCACCCTATCCATCACATTGCTAGTCACCTTCTCTCCTTGCGGTCCTCCTGGGCTTTCAACACCTCCTCCCCCCATTCAGTGTATATGTGTGTATGAAAAAGAGTGTGTCTATTAGCAAGTGTGACTTGTGATATCTGGCAACATGTGTTCTGCTCTCCGTGGGTGTGACTCTGAATCTGGAGGGACAGAACTGCAGTGCAGTCTCTTTGAGACCAAACACACTGCAGGAATAATGATTTGTCTGGGAATCCAACGCTGCTCCAGTGTTTTATTCATAGTTCAGCTGTAGATGTGCTCTCGTGGAATGGGCAATATGTATATTATATTTGCACGAAGCACACTTGTTTAGTGAATACTGACGAAGCCCTGCCAATGAGGAATGCTCCCATGATTCATATGATGACTCTTAGACTGAGTAAACATAAGAAACCGAGTTATAAATGGATCACAGACTATGTGACAGCAGACATGAGCATGTGACAGTCATCTGAACCAAAGCCTCATATTCAGCTGAACATTAGTACAATGACCTGACAGGGCCTCATACCTGCATTAAGGTTATGACTCTATTCTGGTGCCAGTGTGTGTCACAGCGGCGCAGGCCGATTGCAACAATGGACTCAAACGCCTAGAACCACAACAGAGACGGCGAGCACGTTTTACAGTGTGTATATAAGACAACAGAGTGTAATTCGTAGAGGAGGGCGTGGGTGGCGTAGCGACGTGGCCGTGGGTCAGTAAGGGAAAACTGGGACTTAACAGGTGCAACTGGAACGAAGTGGGTACGTCTGAGAAGAGAAGAGAACGGGGTTAGGAAGGTGGCGAGGCGAAGGACACTTGGGGAAGTGGAGTACGACTGATGGGACTTACTTGTAGCCAGGGTGAGTTCGGCTTTGAGGGACAGGCGGTGAGAATCCAGGTGAGTAATGGCAGAGACTGAGTTCCACTGCGGGGTGGTGATAGGAGGGCAGGCAGGTGAGGTTCGCGGTATTTTCCAGAATGGAGAGGTAGTCCGAGAAGAGCTGAAGCTGAAGGTAAGCGGCAAGGAAGGTCCAGGTGAACTGTGGCATAGGAAAACAGAAAAAACAAGAAACAAGAGCCTGAAAACTTGGAACTGATACCAACCTGAGGTCGTTGACAAACTGGCGGTGAAGGACATTCTGAGTAGAGCTTAAATCCTCAACCCGATTACCCAGAATCAGCTTCTGCAGGGGAGCTAATGGCTCCGCCCAGGGATGGAGACCAAGGAGCTCAGGTGCCTGAACGAGTTTTCCAGACGTACCTCCGGATCATGACGGTCTGATCATTTAGTTAAAAACAAAGCAATATGACTTCACCTGAGTTCTTGTCTTTGTGCTATTTGCAGTTAAATGATTTTCAAATCAGTGAATTCTGTTAATATTTGCAGTTTCCAGTCTACATCAAACATTAAGTGGTTACATCAACTAACATTAATGCACCGTTTTCCTTGTCAACAGTGTAAGTGCATATGGTAAACAGTGGAAGACTGTATTTGTCCAAGAAAGGTGATATTATGAAAGGTGAACTCAAATGTCATCCCCTGTGTGTGTGATCGTATATAACAGAGTGATAATGATCCTGGTGTATATAAAGAAACCAGAAACAACCTCAAGCTGAGAACATGAATAAAGCATGATGTACAAGAGTTGATCCATCCAGATTTGTCTTATTTTGGCTTAATCTTTTTGTAAGAGATTATTCATCCCTTAGCCGTAAATGACTGATGGGGTGTGTCATCGACCTGCCGGGCGGGCAGGTGGTCGCGGGGGCGATATAGACATCCAAGTCGAGAAAGATGCAACGGAAAGCTCGATTGATACCATCTACTAAACATATCAGACGAGTTCAAATTTCAGTGACTTCAACTTTTAGATCAAGGTTGAAGGTCAAGTTTTTCAAAGATCTTCAGAATGTGGTAACTCAAAAAAGAAGTCATCTATGATTGGGAACCTGATGACACAGGGGTGTCTACTCGGATACACACACATACATACCTGACAAACTGCCTCACAGTAGCTGAGAAGGAGGGAGTCCACCGAGGAAGTTCAGCATTTATTAAACCGACCAAGACAGAAGCATCACCGAAGAGTTGATGGAAGGTGGAGCAGAAGAGAGAAACTGAGAAGTTGAGCCATCTTTTATAGTGTGGAGGACAGAGGTGAAGTGCATTAGCCACCTAGCCTGGAGTAACAGCTGGAGTAACAGCTGGAGCAACAGCTGGAGCAACAGCTGGCCGGGATTTCTTGACATTTGAAGGGTCGACACACGCCACCTTCTTAAAATGGCAATGGAAATTAACCTGCAATATTAAAATCTCCATTTATTAGATAAGCCGTTCGTCTGCAGATGATCTGTTAGCTGTTTGACAACTACTCTTTCAAGGATGTTTGATATAAAGGAAGGTTGGAGATTATAATTAGCTAAGACTGCTGGGTCTACAGATGCTGAGTGAGTGGTGTCTTGTAGTTGTTGTCCTAAAGGAATGGTTCAAATATTTTTAGTAATAAAGTAGTATAAACGTAACTGTAATAGTAATTCAAGGGCAGAAAAGTTAAGCTGTGCATTGCAGACAAGCAATTGGTATGTTTTGATACCGCTTACATCCAAAACTGAGAATTTTTTATTCTCTAAAGAAGTCACGTTTTCCTTAAAGAAGCGTCAAAGTGCACAGGAATTCGTTTGTGGGTAGTTTTTCCTATTAGAAAGACGTGATTCCAGTTTTTGGATCCCATTCTTATCATTCGGGGTTTAGTTGGGTTTTCATAAAGGAAAGCTGCTTTTGTGTTTGTTTTTCTGTAGTGTTTGTAGTTGTTGCTGCTAAGAGTGACTCAGCGTGTCATGGTACAGAGTCTAGTGATTTGTGATTATGAATATTGATCGATTTAGTTTGTTTGTGGTTATTTGTTAATGATTCTAGTGTTTAGATGTTATTGTGCCTCTCTTGTGTTACCTGTTGTCATCCTCGTCTCTCCATTCACGTATTTCCTGTTTTATTTTGACAGTCTGTGTCCTGTGTCAGTGTGTTCTGTTTGTCTTCCTCCCAGTCTCGGCGAGTCTAATTACTGTGTTCCCTGCCTGTTTGCCTCGTTACCCTCCGTGTGTGTTCATATAGTGTGTGTTTCCTTCTGTTCCTCGCCGGTTCGCCTGTTTCATCGCCTACGTTTCTTCTGTGTTCTTTTGTTTAGCTTCTCAAAGTTTTTGTTAGCGTTTTCACTTCCTCCCTTCGTTTGTTGCTTTGAAGTATTTTGTACAGCCATCAAATAAAGACTCTTTCAGTTTAAACCACCGTCTGTTCCTCTGTTTGTCTGCATGTGGGTCTGCACTGTGACACAACCAGTTATTAGGTTTAGGGGGCAATTACTTGCCCACAGAGGGCCAGGTAGGCTTAGTTTGTTTTTGCATTAATAAACTAAAAAAACATTTAAAAACTGCATTTTGTATTTTCTCTGGTTCTCTTTGTCTTCTATTAAAATTTGACAAATGTGACAGATTTGCCAAAAAGTAAGAAACCAGACACTGTTTGTAGAGCAGGGCGATATGACCCAAAATATTTATCACGATATGA